TCTTCCTGTATGCTTAGGGACCACTCTTCACTCATAATTTGCAGTCCTAAAGCTAACCATGGTTCATTATTTGTTGCGAAAAATGCCTTTATTGCCATTTGGCCAACAAGACCTGATTTTGTTGTCTAGGGTCAAGTGCACCTAACCCTCCTTCATGTCTGCGGAAGGTAATTGTTTCCCAGGCTACCTTGGACATGTATCCTTCCTTCTCTTGCGATTCTGACTTCCAAATAAACCGCCACGGCGTCTTTTTGATTTTTTTATAAGCTCTGTCTCCCAAAAGATGAACCGCCAACGTAAACCACAAATTGAACCTGTTGTCGTGGATAGGACAAGTGCCATTCCTAACAAAGAGAGGTGTTTTGTCCGTTGCCAACTAGGAATTTTGCTGCAATATTTTTCCAACAGAATGACATCTTGAAACTCGGAGTTGTCTGTTTGTGAAACTTGCACCCCCAAAAATAGTCCCGAAGCATCAGAAGGGACAATGTTTAAACCCCAATTCACTCTCAGATTGTAAGAAGGTGGTAAGAAATAAGTTGACTTATTCCAATTAATCGAGGTTTATTTTATACCATTTGTAAAGCTCTTAGATTCTCTTTATTGCTTTGACAGATAATGATTAAATCATCCGTCAGTACTCCTCCCTTTCATTAAAGACCATTATTGAGATTTAGACCCTGGATTTGCGGATTAAAACGAATATTATCGAGTAAGATTTTCAAATGAACCACAAAAAGGGGAGGAGCTAGATGACACCCTTACCTGAGAGAACGAGTACTGACCGTTGACCATTTACCATTACCGTGGTCGCAGAGTCCGAATACATTGTCTTCACCCATTGGCAGAATGGGGCACAAAAAACCATATGTTTCAAGGTAGTCATCACGAAAGCCCAACCGACACGATCATAAGTTTTTTCTATGTCTAGTAAAAGAATAGCTACATCAAGGTTATCTTTTGTGATGATTTCAAATGCCTGTATTGTTGAGGCAATGTTATCCGTGATGCTTCTATGTTTGACGAATGCGCCATATTCCTTGCCAATGAGATCGGGTAAGTAGTTAGCTAATCGTAACGATAAGGCTTTTGCCAACAATCTATAAGATGCATTGAGTAATGATATAGGTCTCCAGTTGCAAATTTTTTTTTTCTATTTTTTTAGATAACAAGAAAATTACTCATTTCATCATACTTTTCGTCAATTTACCAGAACTTGATTGAAAATACTGAGCAACATTGGACTCAATTGATGCCATAAAGCCAAGGATGCCTCTATTGGGAGACCGTCCTTCGCATGACACTTTCCTTTCACTATTTTTTTTGGTGCTACTAAAAGTTCCTCCAAAGTCAGAGGTCTGTCTAAATTCAAACGTGCACTCATAAAGAGGGTTTTTTTAGAGCGGTTCCAAAAGGTATTTGCAATTTTAAGATCCGAGTCCATATCATCATATGGACGACGAGTTGTTTGGATGTCCTCGAAATACAGTCTATCATACTCACACTTTTGTTGTAGATCGTTAAGAATTAATAATTGGGTAGAAAATGAGTATGATAACTCTTTCATTGGCATGATTAAACGTCTGAAGGTTTCCTTCGTGAGTTTATCTTCGGTTACAATGCCTCTCTGGTCAAACCATTCTTTCCATTGCAGTTGATCCTGGATATGCATTAGCGCTAGTTTTGTCAAGAATATTTTTCTCACCAATGTCCAATAAGCGTCTGCTACCTCATCGTGACCTAGACACTCCTCTGCAATACTTATTCATTGTATAATAAAACTTTCCTTCTTTCTTTTCGTTTGTGCTTCAATTTGAAAAAATACGTTAAACATTCGTTGCAAAATATGAATCCCTACCTCCACATAGTCTTCCTCCGTGTTGAACAAATCCTTAACGTCCTGCCAAGACGCAAGTTGGCGCTGTGCCTAGTGGAAGACACCCGAATCTTTAAATAAAAAGATGTTTAACTTATAATAAGAAAAACCCTTTTTTGGGGCTTCACTGATTCGAGATTCACTTACCACCGGCCTATGGTCAGATATATCTGACATCATGATATCCACAGTGATACACTCATGTCATGGTCGACCTTTTATCAAAAGGTAATCCAATCTTCTACGAGATAGGGGGCTCTGTGACCCGAACCAGGTATACGCTTATGTATTCGGGTGTAATACACGAAAGGCATCCACCAAATCCGAATAAACTATAAAACTCTGTAGTAATCTACTATCATATTTGATATGTCCTTCTCTAGGGCTATCCAATCCTGGGTTCAGTATGGTGTTCCAGTCTGCTGCAATGATTAGGTTGTCAGAGTCTGGTATAATTCCCGGTAATTTAGCTATGAAGTTTAGCCTTTCGTTATAATCTACAAACACATAAATTGACATCACAGTCCATTCCTTGGACCCCACCTCAAAATTGACCCATACCCACCTCCCCCATAAGCCAGTCATTGAATCAATAATTACCGTTTCCAAGTCCCTGTGAATTAATATGGCGGTCCCTACCCTTGTTCTCTGAGCCGATGACCAAAGCTGATAATCAGTCCACCAATTTTTCGCTTCTCTACAATGATTTTCATCCAACTTTGTTTCCTGAATACAAACCACTTGACTTAAGACGACTTCGTTTGTGCTTATGGTTTGTGTCACATAGCCCTCTTACATTCCATGAAGCAAGCCTGAGCTTTCCTCTAAGAGGCATGAGGGTTGGTATTGCCGACCGATAACTGAATGCGGCTTCCTGCGCTTTGTGACCCCTGCGACTGTTTCCTTCGCCTCGGTTCATCCCCTCCTGATGTTTTGTCCCATGGCTATTGGAGCTGGGACAACAATTTCGGAGTAAGGAGAGACTCTCTCAATACCAATGTAGTCAACCATTCAGCGATGACTGCTGCCAAGATCCCAGGTAGAGCTCGAATTCCTTGTAGCTCTTTGTTCAATGGAGACGACAAGGAAGGTAGAGGGAACAAACTTTTGTTTTGCCCCACGGTGATGTTGTTTGTTTTATCGTTCGTCTCGACTTCCATCGGGACATAATAAAAGTGAGTTTTCTTAACTTTCTCCACATGGGTTTGAGGAATAAGACGAATTTTCAATCCTTTGGGAATGATTTTTGAGACATTGCTCAGTATCACGTTACTTGTAAGGGGGACATTAGCATTTGAAGCGAACAAGCGATTGGTTATGGGTAAGCGATATATTGACGACTTGTTGATTATTGCTTTGTTTCGAACCTCGGATGAGCAAGGGGCATCCAAAACCGAACGGTATCTTGATAGCGTGACGAAGTGTTATCCGGACGTCCTAGTGCTTGAACGAACAGACCCGGGTAACGACCTATTGGATTTTCTAGAAACCAGGATGATGGTATGTGGGGCCAAGGTACTGCTGATGTCCCACAAGGTAAAAAATGCAGGAACAATTTGGGGGGATAAACCACTGCAATTTCGTACGTACAAAGACTTCACTTCATATGGACCCCGGTCGTGTAAATTTGCGGTAATCACAAACACGATTCTACGCATTGCTCAGAACTCGAATAACGACGGGCTGACGTGCTGTAACATACTCACGTTGTGTGAAGAGCTCAGAAAGAGCAGGTACCCAGCGAAAGTAGTGTGGCGGGGCTCCAGTGGATGCAACGCAGGGTCCGATCATCTTTCTGGCAGGGAATACTGGAAATAGCACGATATGCGCAGGGCAAGTAACTCCCTATGACTGAATGGGGACCGGTCAGCCTGAGCACGTGTAAAACGATTGATGAAGTCTGACCCGTAGCAATGAACGGGGCACAATAGTTAAAACTCAGAGATTGCAGGAAGGAGTATTGGCAGATATCCGATTTACTGTCGGAGTGTGTATCAGGATTTTTGAAATTAATCGTGGAGTGACGTAAGTCTGCACCGAGGGCGGTAAGAGCCAGGAACCATAGGGGAAGCCTCCAGGACCAGCAGAGGTTATACCCACTTGTGCGCAATTATGGGCCAAATTCATCAGAATCTGCAAGGACCTGGTCTTTTTAGACTTGGCACCGAGCAAAAACGAGTTCCAGATTAGTGACGCGGTGACAACGCTTGAAGTAACGCGCTGACCTCTATGCACGAGTTAACCTGTTGAGGTTTTCGCCTTTGGTTCCTTCAGAATTTTGTGATGAGAGTTGTTGTGTTTTTTTATTTTATTTTATTTTATTTGATTTTATTTCAGTTTATTAAATTTTTAAAGCTAGCTCTGTAGGGAGAGAAGGCTGAGAAAGTAGTATAAAAATGACACTCGTATGAACCATTTACCTCAATCTGAGTGGCGGATGAGTAGAAGGATTGAGAACCTTGGCGGTGAAGGTCAAGGTGATGCTGGGGAGAAGGTGATTTTGCCATGATAATAAAACTTATGTCATCTTCTTCCTTTTGGAGTTCCATTGTCTTTGTGATGGATTAGAACCTTAAACTCGACCTTGCCGTGGCTTGGGAACGAGCCTAGGATGCCGATCTACACACTGTTGAGAATCTCACAGTGGGAAAATCGTGCTTGTTTCGTGATATTGTCATTACCACTACTATTGTTGTGGTGTTATTTTTTCTCTGTAATGGTTGCCGTCCGTTTTTGGACGTGCTTTTGATTCATGTACATCGTGTTGTTATGATCGTTAGAATCTTTGTATGATTCCTTCTGAAGCATATGGGGGGCATTTGTCCGCGGGAGTATCTGTTTCCCTCTTTCTCGGAGCAACGTCTCAGAAACGGGAGGTAGTAAACGGGTGGAACGACCCGATCACGAAGTAGAGAGAAGTGCGGGCTTGAGTTTCAGACGGGCAGGTGACGACTTCAAGGGCACGACACTGGTACTGGCGATTGATCAAACGTTCAGAACTCCCTTCCGAAGCTGCTGTCGACTGGCGCACAGTATAGTGACGCGCATGATGTGGTGGCGGAGGGCATGATCCGGGAAGCTACGGTGCTTTGCTTACGGTGGCGTGAGCATCGTCTAGTAAAGTTGTGGCGTGACGAATAAGGCAATTGTTGTCAGTAGGGGTGTACTTTGAGACACATCGCTCTGTCTCTGACGATCGATCGGACTTCCAGGCCTGCTTCCTGGATTTGCTACCGATAGAGGCATGAGATGACGACGCGCGTGAGACGGTGGCAAGAAGCGTGATCCGTAGGGCATGATGTTTTGTGTATGGTGGCGCGAGTGTCGACTAGTAAGCAGCTTTGAGACCAATTGTGCTATCGGTGTCAGTATTGGGTGTGGTGTTGCCATTGGCATTATACTAAGTCGTATGTCAGGTCGTGGGAGGGGTAAAGCTGGTGGAAGGCGTGGCCGTTGGTCTAACTGCGGACGCTACTGGAAGGCAGGCAATGACCAGAGCAGTAGCAGTGGGCAACCAACAGCGAATCCAGCGCAGTACAATGGCGCGGTCCCAGTGGTGAATCCATATCCTCCGGGAGTAAACCCGGTGCAATATGCTGCACCATTCCAGGCACCTGCGGTGATGCCAATTATGCCGCCACCCACGGCCTCGGCCGCGACACCTCCAACACCAATGCAGTATCAAGCAGTTGCACCTCAAGTGTCTCCCTGGGGAATGCAACCGTGGCAATGGCCAGCGCACGGGCAATGGGCAGGGCAGCCTCCTAGCGTGCAGGCGGGGACCAGTCATCAGCAAAGTATTCAGTCGCATCAACAACCTCTGAACCAGCAAGCTTCCACCTCGCACAACACCGGAGTTGGGAACAATCCTGGGAAGGGCCCGACGACGAATTCCTTTCCTGGCCCGGGAAACCGGGCGTACTTTACAAAAGAGTACATGGACATTTTGGAGGATATCAAGATGAGCAAGGCGATTGAGGAAGCACGGAAGAAGATCTCGAGTGGTAGACGTGGTGGCGTTCGGATTGTGGAACTGCCTGACGAAGGTAGCAGATCGGAAGGTCGGTTTGCAGATAAGGCGCGATCCACTGACAAGAGTGATGAGATGAAAGCATGGGTGACATCAACTCTCGGTGACTCTCTCAAGCTCATTACGGAAAAGCTACAGGAGGTCGACCAAAAGGCTAAGCTTGTTGCCGCTGATAAGGCAGAGCTCGACAGGCTGCGGGAAGAGAAGGCCTTGAAGGAGAAGGGTAGCATGGACCCGGCGAGTAATGAAAAAAGGAAGAGAGGGGGGGAATGTACCCCAGCGGCAAATTCCCCTCGTATCAATCGGGTGAAGTCATGCACATGTGGAAGTAGCAAGGCAAAGTCTCGCTCGAAGAGGATCGAGGTATCTTCCAATGAAGAAGAAACTGACACGATGAAGCATAACCTTCAACCGAAGATGGGCACAAGCAGCGAGTTAGCGACATCAAGACAATCCTTGCTGCGCTCATGCAGGGCATAGGGAACACTAAGGGAAAATCACCAGTAGTTGCACCTATGCCTGTGAAGCCAGAAGCCAGTGAGGGATCGAAGGGTATGGAAGATGTGGACGTGGTACATAATGAGCAGAACGGAGAGGTGGAGGAAGAAAGTGACGAAGGAGGGTTGGCAACATATATGAAGATGAGGCAAGAATTCTATTGTTCCTTACATTACACTCGGGTGCAGGAACTCTGCAAGCAGAAGAACATCCAGTACCTCCGGAAGGATGCTGGGGCATGGGAACTTGCAAGACTTGACCTACAGGAATATGCAGACACATTGAAGGAAGAGAAACCAGCACGTGCCGCTGTCGGCGCGAATACCCTTACAAAGGTATCCGGCCCGGTTTTTGCAACTGGCAGAAAATAAGGGTTGTTAAGAATTTGAGTATACCGTGCGGAGGTGCGGTCGTGTTTGGTTCGCGCTGACTGAATGGTTAACGGGGAGCAAGGTGTGTGGGCGCGCAGTTTTGAGGCGTGCGTGATGATTTGCTCTTGATGCTATAGGGTCGACGTGTCCACCGGCGGAAATCTTGGCTTTGATTAAGACTAGGAAAGGTTGTTCCTTATGTTGAGTTGACCATGGTGCACCTTCGTTCATACGGCATGTGCCATCGGAAGTAGATTTGCTAGGTGACGGCACACTTGGGCTGCATGTGCGACGGTAGCCAAAGGGAGAAACTTACCCCTTCATACAGCAAGGGCCGGCGCGTAGGAACCATAGACGCAAGCAGTGGCCTCCGCGCCGCACTATGTGGGCAGCGTCGCGTGACTAGGTAAGGCTGTGACCAGATGAGAATATTGTTTGACGCACTAGGGGCCGACGTCTCAGGGTCGCACCGTGTGAGGTTTCGCAGGCACTGGGTTGACCATGCATCGTCGATAGAAGGAGCCGCCGCTGGGGCTAAGTAAGGATGGCACGGGGTAGAATAGAAGTCGGGGTTATCAAAGGGGCGGTGAAAGGGTGCTCATGGCAGGCTATGAGAGCCCCGGGCCATGGCCACGGCATTACAAGGCCCCGGGTGCAGAGAGATTAGCCAAGCGGTGGCCTTGGCACACCCTTGTAAGCCGGGGCAGGCTGCCATTACTCTTTATATGGCAGGTACGCCTGCTACATCCAGGCTTGGGCTTAGCCGTATAGGTTATGTCACTAAACTGTTACCAGGAGGATCCTGGGATCGAGGCCAGCAGCGAGTAGCGGAGCAGCGGAGGAGCGGACCTTGGAGTGAATCAAGGGGTTGAGGGTCCTGCGGGACTATCCCCTTTGGTTTTGCTAAGGGGAGTCGGTTGCGGGCCCGTAGGAAAGCACCTACTTCCAACGGTTATCTCCCGCATCCGTTTTTCTTTCGTTTATCTCTTAGTTTTTCATATTTTTTATTTTTTGTTAGTATTTTTTTCCTATTTTTTCTATTTGGGACGACCCGGTACCGGTATCGGGACCGGCCGTGAGGGCCAAAAGCCTCGTTCAGTGGATACACCACTGAACTGTGGGAGCACAAGCCTGGGTCCCAGTCCTTCGGGACATCTGTTAAAATTGGAACGATACATAGAAGGTTAGCATGGCCCGTGCGCAGGGGTGACTTGCGCGTAGTAGCATGCTACGCTCGTATGAACCTAGCCGTCAAGAGGGGCAGGGCCCGTGCGCAGTATACCCGGAGCGCTGTGGGGGACTTGCAGCACTGCCGAGCAAAACGCTCGTCGGGCTGGGAGGAGGCCGCAGCGAGTCTGGCGTACAAATCGTTCGTCGGACCCAAGTATAAGGGCGAGCGACTAATCTACCCGTCTAGTAGCTGGTCCGTTCGGGGAAGGTTTCTCAAAGTTGGCCAGGGCAGTGAGGGAGGTCGCTGCACTAAGGGGCTGGCAGATCGGTAGGGAGAGGGGCGTCGAGAGCTAAGAAGAGGGCGGAGAGTCACAAGTGCAGAGGTGTGTTAGTCGGGGGAGAGGAGGCTCTGGCAGGCCGCGGCTGAGCGTTGTCAGGCTGGAAGGAGTTGAGGTCGAACGAGGCAGTGAGAGGGGGACTGAACCGGGATGATGAAGTGAGCCAAGTACGTTGGGAGGTTGGGAATGAAGAAGACAACATGATGGCGGGATGTCGGATTCGGCGCAGCTAGTGAAGCATAAAACAGTCGGTTCCTATCGGAATCGAGCGAGGGAAGGGATGTTATGGAGGTTCAGGGGCCGGGCGAGCGTACTGGTGAAGCTAGATTGGAGGATAGACTAGTAGAGGCGGCGTTAGTGGAAGGATTCACTGCGCAGGAGATGGCGGAGATGGCGGGGAGACGAAGTGAGGCGCAGAGGATAGTGTCGGGCTCGCTCAATCCTTAGCAGGATCGGGCGGGGGAGGAGTCGATCTTGGGGTTTTGACCCCAGGCGAGTCCTATTCTGGAGTTAGTTTTAGATAAGGATTAATAGGATTAGAGTTAGGCAAGTTTTGAAGTGCGTGAAAACTATGACGGAGGGGAGAATAACGGGACAAAGGGATCGAGATGTCACTCGATTCTTGATAGAATCGAGTGGGGTAACGGCCAAGACAAGGATTCAAGAGTGGGCGAATCAGATGAACGAGTCGAACTCGGAAGTTAGTAAGTAGATCAGTCGGTTTTGGCAGTAAGAACTGCGCCCGGAGAAAAAAACTTAAAAAAGGTGGTGTATCTGACCGTGTCCTAGCGGAAGATTTATTCTCAATTTTACCCATGCTCAGACAAGGAACTATCTTCTGCAGTAAGGTGCGCACGCAGAGAGATAAGAAAGAGAGAGAGGGAGAGAGAGCTCACCTCGGCGTTGGTACGGGGTGAACCGAAAGTCGAACTACAGTGCTAGGCCATTTACGTGGTGATCCTCTTCATCGTCGCCGGTAGTGCTCGTTGCGTTTGACATGGCCGAGAGCCTTGCGGCCTAGCTCGTGGTGGTTGTTTCCTACACCGGCTTAAGCTGCAGTTCCTATCAACTCGCCATTGCTGCCCGTACTGCTCAATACCAAGCATGGTAGAGATGTTTTGAGCGTGTCTGCGCTGTTCGTTGTGGCAATAGTCGTTACCGGGGTGATCATTGTGGCGGGGATGACTGCCGCCTGGCAGAGGAGCCTAGGTGCTCGCATTCATACTCGACACCTAGGTGTCTATCTTCATGCTCGGCTATGAGGCGCTCTTAGTCAGTAGATAACCGGTACGAACAACACAGACATGGGCGCACGACATACACACTTATACACAGTGGGAGAGATCGAAGGAGAGAGGAGGATTCAAGGAAAAAGTGGAGAGAGGGCTTTGCCGAGACATACCTGCTGGCATGAGCAGGAAGAGATATGGTTTGTTCTACACGTACCTGGCTGGGATGGCAGTCAGATGCGTCCTCGTTCTTAGTTGGTGGAGTGACCTGTCTGGTTAAGTCCGGTAACGAGCGAGACCTCAGTCTGCTAAATAGGTACACGGGGGAGCTCACCGGGTCCAGACATAGCAAGGATTGACAGATCGAGAGCTCTTTCTTGATTCTATGGGTGGTGGTGCATGGCCGTTCTTAGTTGGTGGAGTGACCTGTCTGGTTAAGTCCGGTAACGAGCGAGACCTCAGTCTGCTAAATAGGTACACGGGGGAGCTCACCGGGTCCAGACATAGCAAGGATTGACAGATCGAGAGCTCGTTTCTTGGTTGTAAGGGTGGTGGTGGATGGCTGGTGGAAAGTCATCAGGTCCAGACGCAACAATGATCGGCAGGCTAAGAGTTCGTCGTTGACTGTGTGGGCGGAGGTCTGTAGCTACGGTCGGCTGGCACCCTCAAGATGCTGAGCTTGCTGAGCATACGGGTGGGTTTCCCCTGCAAGCTGCTGCACACTCCACTTTGGCTGTGCACGATTACTGAGTTTTTGCTGAGCATGTGGCTGCTATGACGTTGGGGCACAGTGTGTATTGCAATATATGGCGCCAGGCTTGATGGTGATGCCAACGCAGTATGGTTAAATGGTTGCTGCGTATTCTTGTGCAGTTATCATACATCCGTTGTGTACCATTGTGTCTCACCACGCCTTGCAAACTGCGTCGTGCTATTCCGCGCCATTATGGTGCCCTCTGAACTATGCCTGAGCGCAACGAGGCCAGCACTGATTAAGTGACTAAGTCTCCTCCGGCTGTTGCCATGTATTGTTATTTTCTACGTACGCGCTGCGTACTGGCTGCGCTACTATTACGTTGTCTTGCTGGAGATTGCTGATCGTGCCTCGCTATTTACGCACTGTTGCAGTAACTCTATACTACTACTGATAGGTTCTCTTGCGCATCTGTGGACCTTTACTTCTGCATGTCTGGGTTTACAAGTAACTGTGTCAGACTGTTATAGCCTGTATCCGGATAGGGCACGGGGGTGTGTTCTATTCGAACGTGGCATTTCTAGGCTGCATACTAGTGGTTTGATCTAAGGAGAGACCAAGCTTAGAAAGGGGGGGTTATCGCTGCGACTCGGAGGTCAGTCAGGATGTTGGTTCTCTATGTTCTGGACGCTTTGACYCTTCTACTGCGATTTCTGGCCATCATTGCGGGGCCCTCAGGCGCATCCAGATTACAAGGCCCTCTCACGTGAGTTGAGTTAGCCCACTCCTGTATCTCGAGAGTCTGAACTTTCTACCTCTGCCCTTCTTACTCTAAATCCAGTCTGAGGTTACGAGAGGAAGGTGGCAGGCGAGATTGCAACCCGTAGGTTCGCATCAAGGCCTCTGTGGGAGGTTGCCCCACCGATTGCGGGAGCTCTGCCGGAGCCCGGGCGGGGTTCTGGAGGCAGGGAACACTCAGGTATAATTTTGTCTGACACGTGTGATCCCTTCCCCTAACTACATTATTCCTTTGGGCTACCTGAGAACATGACTATGGAAGGTTATTACTTTTATCTTTTGTTATGACATGCTGTTGAAAAGGTTAAATTAACAAGTACGTATGAGAGATCAGATATTCATTGAGTCAAGTCAGACAGAATGAACTGGGGGAATGTGGGGTGAAGGCGTTTTGCATGCTGTGACCGGGTCAACCCAAGGCTGATTTCCTCCGAGTGGATG